GGTATATTGTATGCTTGCTTACGACACCCACGGGTAAGGAAGTGGAAAGTTTACCTGAATGATTACATTAATTTTCGTCTCTCATAAAATTAACTTATAAAATGGTAACACGTGTTCTCATTCCGTTACTTCACGGATGTTGGAGAGGAAGCAATTAGAATTATATTAGTTAGAACTAGTTTACTGGTTTCATCCTATTAAGAATAATATATCTAATATATAAAATTCTCGTATCGCGGTGTTTGTTACCAAACTCCTCCGAAACGGCTTTACCGATTATCATGAAATTTTGTGTGCATATCGAGTAGGTCTGAGAATCGGCCAACATCTATTTTTCATACCCGTCAATGATAAGGATGACCCCCCCCCCAAATTTTTTTTTATTTTTTTGTAAATTTTTTTTATTTTTAAATTATTATAATTTAGCATTGAAAAATACATACAACTTTAAATTTTGATCGTTTTACGATCAACCCCTGTAATCGCGATTTTTATATTTCGCAATAAGTGGTAAAACAACGTTTACGGGGTCAGCTAGAACTGTAGCAACATGGATTTTATTTATTTTGTATATTTAATTAACCTGACTTTATGGACACTCATTATTATATATAGTTTCTTTCATACATACACGTACATTACTTGCATACATCCACTCTAACTCGCCTACCTTGCTTTAGAGTTATAATTTTAGTTTGTATAAATAAAGTCCGTTATTGGCTGTATTTATAAGAGACTTAGCATGTAATTTGTTTTTAAGAGCTGTGATTTTTTTATTAAATAAATAAATATATAAATAAAAATAAACTCCTATAAAGTAAAAAAAATCTTGGCATTATCTTTGACAGAACTTTATCATAGTCTCCGCAAATCTCAGAGGTTAGCAAAAAAATGTTAGCTGTTACTAGCGCCTTGAATGAATTCCTGTTATTTAAACCTTGCTGAAGGGCAATTAAACAAGCTTGAGCGTCTCCAAAATTTATGTATTCACTTCATATTTGGTCTTCGCAAATATTATCACATTTTTCAATTTCTTTTTTTTTATATAACTTAGAATGGCAAACAAGCTGACGGCCCACCTGATGGAAAGTGGTAACCGTCACCTATAGACATGAGCAGTACCATGGACATAACAGAGTATACTGTTTCGCCCATGATACCCCCCATGCGTTGCCATTCCTGAGGACTCAGGTGTTATTCCTCTATACCCAGTAAATTCACGCTATATCCCACCCTTCAAACCAGAACACAGCCATACAAACACAACTGTTTCACGGTTAAAACACGAATGGGACAGAGGTACCCAAGCAAACCACTTTTGTACAGTCTCCCTCAACTCAAGTGGCTCCCTATCTATTTTCGTTGTAATTTACATATCCTATCTCTCCTTTACGCGATTCTTTTTAACCCCATTGTTCCTGATTAACTTAAAGACCGATTTGTGTTTCTCAGTGAGGCCACTGGCCAAACTTCACGCAGTGTCAACAACTTTCGTCTCAAATTTCCCACTCACTCTACTTCCTTTTATTCTACTCGTAATTCCTTTACTGTTCAGGCAGTTCGCCTGTGGAACTCACTACCTACCTTTATTCGGTGCGCTAAATCTCTCGCTACCTTCAGAACCTCTGTTAAAGCCCATTATCTCTCCCTTTAGGTACTATTTTCCCATGTTTTATATTCATCTTACAGTGTCACTCTCTCCTGTTGTATGTGTGCTTTTAAGTTGGTGTATGTTTATGTATGTATATGTATATATATATATATATATATATATGTACCCAAAGGGGAGGCTGTCTGGAAGAGATTGTTTAGTGATAAGGCCGCTTTTTGTATCATATCTTATTACAGTTAAATGTATTTACTATTTATAAATGGTGCAATAAAGCGTAAATAAATAAATAACCTACATTATTATTATTCTCCGTATTACATATAGGTTTTTCTTAATAGATGATAATGGAATGGTAAACCCCGCCTGCGCTAACGGTATACGTAAGGGGAAAGGGATTGTTAGTGATGGAGAGGTTAGTCACCCTATCAGGCGGCCTCCATGCGATTTTCCATGGAAACCATTGTGACTAATTTATCGTTGAATTTGTCACGGTGACTCTGCCTTTTCAATCTCACCAATCATGCATCCCTGGTGGTGCCTCGCCAGTGTATACCGATAGCGCAGAAGGAGTTATTATTCTGGCAGGGCATCAGTGAGGTAGAATTAAAAGGATCTTTTTTTAATAGGTGGACTAATTCGACTAGAATTAACCACGATGGTTTAACCACAAAAAGGAGGCAGTTCTCAGATCGTCGGTTGGTCAATCGATTCTGATATATATATATATATGACACTGTCTCTAGACACTCAGACACTAGACACTCGGACACTAGACACTCATTCACCAGACTCTCAGACACTAGACATTTAGACACTAGACACACTGGCACTAGACACTCGGACACTAGACACTCATTCACCAGACTCTCAGACACTAGACACTTAGACACTAGACACTCAGACACTAGACACTCAGACACTAGACACTCAGACACTAGACACACTGACACTAGACACTCAGAGACTAGACACACTGACACTGGACACTCAGATACTAGACATTCGGGCACTAGACACTCAGATACTATCCACTCAGACACTAGACATTCAGACACTAGACACTCAGACACTAGACTTTCAGACACTAGACATTCAGACAGTCTCTAGACACTCAGACATTCTGACACTAGACACTCAGACACTAGACACTAGACACTTAGACGCTTGACACTCAGACATTCTGACACTAGACACTCAGACACTAGACTCTCAGACATTGTCTCTAGACACTCAGACACTAAACAGACTGATACTAGTCACTCAGACACTAGACACACTGACACTAGATACTCTGACACTAGACACTCAGAAACTAGACTTTCAGACACTAGACACTCAGACACTAGACTTTCAGACACTAGACATTCAGACAGTCTCTAGACACTCAGACATTCTGACACTAGACACTCAGACACTAGACATTCAGACTGTCTCTAGACACTCAGACTCTGTCTCTAGACACTTAGACTCACGTCGTCACTCCATCTAGGGGGGATCGTCCAACATTGCGTCCAATAACTTTATAGTCCTCAGGAATGGCGACGCATGGGAGGTTACATGAGCGAAACAGTATTCTCTGTTATGTCCATGGTACGGCTCATGTCTATAGGCGACGGTTACCACTTTCCATTGGGTGGATCGTCAGCTTGTTTGCCATTCTAAATTGTATAAAAAATAAAACAAAACAATTAAAACAACAATATACATATTTCCAAACACTTTAATACATTTAATTTCACGAGTTTGACGTTGAAATTGTTAATAGTCGAGTAGCCTTAATACTAAATATTATATATTAACTTACAAATATTAAATTCGAAATTTTATACAGCGATATTTTAATATAATATTAATATTGCACATAATTTTATGAGGAATTAATTATTACATTAGCTAATCATTTATACATACGTATCTGTCGCGCCTGTCTCCCATTAGGGTAGACAGAAACAATGGAACGCCAAATGTTTCGATTCAAACAGACCTCTTTCGCTTCCTCCACATTCATCAATCTTTTATAATCACATTGTTTTAATTATTTGTATTAATTTAATAACTACTAACTTACATATAATTAAAAAAAACTCGACTAGTTTCGTGATCAATTCGTGGTCCTTAGTCGTGAGTTTGTAATTGTTTATATTTATAATAAGTTTACTATTGTAATCTTTTGGAGGAAACAATAAAGAGTATCTATCTATCTATCTATCGTGAGTGACTGTGACTCGAGCACGAGCTTGACTAATAACTCACTCATGGCTAAGTATCACGAATTGATTCTGAAACTAGTCGAGCTTTTTCGATCTGATGATATGTAAGTTAAAGCAAGCGGTAGTTATTAAATTAAAATATAATTTTAAAGTAATATTTATATATAATTATACATATATTATATTTAATTAACGTAGAGAATTTATATAGATACATATTACATGAGACCATTCGATAAATTACCGTTTATATTATTAACTAATTTATATACAGAAGTACAAAATATTAGAAGTAAGTAATACATTGTTAAACTTGACGATCTGTTTTTTTTTTTGTCTATGAACACCTTTTAATATAGAATCTCTATGGTTAACCCTCTAATCCGGACATCCCGCGATTTCCGCACGCAATATCTACTAGTTTAATTTTACGCATCCCGCGATTTCGACGTGCTCGCATTAATTACGTTGTTATCCCGCCATTTTTGTTTTGCTAGATCGATATTGTTCCTCTGAATCTCGCTAGATGGCTACATAATCGTACAGCTATTTGTTGTCAAAGCGATGTGCGAAAATGGAGCGAAAAAATACGCGGTCAGAGAGTTCAACAAACTATGAGTCCAAATTTGATGTCACAATTGTTATAATTAATTAAATTAGAACAAATAATTTAGTAATACATAGATTAGTAAAACAGTTTTTCGTAGAAACTAATGAAATAATAGTATTATCTGTAAACAGTTATCAGAGGGAGACTTTGTACAAAAGTCGTTTGCTTGGGCACCTCTGTCCCATTCGTGTTATTACCGTGAAGCAGTTGTGTTTGCATGGCTGTGTTTCGGTTTTAAGGTCGGGATATGGCAATAACAGGGTACAGAGGCATAACACCTAAATCCTCAGGAATGGCAACGCATGGCAAATGGCAAACAAGCTGACGGCCCACCTGATGCAAAGTGGTAACCGTCGCCTATACACATGAGCAGTACCATGGACATAACAGAGTATACTGTTTCGCCCATGATACCCCCCATGCGTTGCCATTCCTGAGGACTCAGATGTTATTCCTCTGTACCCTGTAAACCTACTGCCATATCGCACCCTTCAAACCGAAACACAGCCATGCAAACACAACAAAATTCAGTCGAATAGAACAGAGGTGCCCAAGCAAATGACTTTGTACAAATTCTCCCTCTGTTAAATTTAACAAAGTTAAAAGTTCTTTTATGTAAACAATGCTAAGTTTATTCACTGTGCAAAGAAATGACAAGTGTATTAAAGTAATAACAACATAAACTATTTATAATAAAAAATAAAATGGCATTAGATTGCACGACATTGATACTTTGGTTGAACATAACTACATGTATCTACCTAACATTATATAAATATAAAGACAGTTATGAAAAAAAAAATATAAAAAAAAATAACATAAATTTCTATTTTACATAAAGAATACTGTTTTCAACAATTATGTACCTTTTTGTTTAATTCTCGTTTTTATAATGGCAACCAGGTTGATGGAAAGTGGTAATTTTATACATCACACTCACAGGGCGTCACAGTGTATCTGTGGACATCACTGGATAAACTGTGACGCCCATGGTGCCCATCACGCGTTGCCATCCCTGTCTGCGTACTCTGTAAGTCAATTTAGTATAGGTAATTAATTGCATTACCTTTTTATTGTTTTAAAAATAAACTGTCAGTGTAAATATTCAAATTAGATAAAAAGTACCTAGGTACTATGCAAGACTAGGTATCATTTTTTTTAAATTTTGTTTAATAAACTCAAACCCGAATAAAAATAAATAAACAGTGCTTAGAAAACACTATTCTACATTTCTCCATACATTATTTACACATAAATGTTATAACAACCATTTGTCAATCTACAAAATAAACAATAAAAAATAATATCACATGATTTTTTTTTATATCACCACGCTAGCAAACAACTATACGACCTGCCCGATGGTAAGTACCACAAGGGCCATGAAAGCAGAGTAGACAAAAGCGTCTCAACTTAATAAATAATCGATAAAAAATTTAACAATAAAGAAAAAAAGATATTTTCCTGAATTGAGGTCACATGGAAAAAGAGATTTATCTCGCCTTAACTACAAATTCTCATTACTATAATTTTAAAATTTAAAAAGGGCCATACCATTTTGAAATTTGAAAGTTTTTTGAAAAAATATCTGAACTGTAAAATCACATAATTAAAGATCGTGTTCCAACAAAAAACTGCATCTTCAATTGTGACAAAACCAATTTGTTTTGATTTAAAAACTTAAACACTGAATCGATTTTGATAAAATTTCTATTCGTAAAATAAAAATAATTATAATGATTTCAGATTAAAAAAAAACATTCCAAATCGGTTTACAACTGACAGAGTTGTGAGGTAACAAACATAAAAAGTATAATCGAATTAAGAATCTCCTTTTTTTAAAGTCGGTTGGAACTTTGAAATATCCGGATAAAAGAATGAAAGTCCGATCCTATCCGGACGGGAAGTAATCCTAAGCTACATTATCTCTGATAAAAGAACACCATAGTAGCTTAACAACCCTAAAAATTACCTTCTAATTTTCCTTGGAAACCTAATTGAACCCAATTGTTCTTTGTTAAGGCGTCATTTCTTCCCCCCTATCCCCCCTATCAGGCCTTGAGCGGACGACAAGGAAGCTAAAGCAATTCTCTCGCTATTCGTCGAGGACAAGCTTCGATCCTGACTGGTTGACACAGATAGCAACCTTTCAGCGGAATTTAGTGAGCTAAGCGAGAGCCGGTTGTCCGGTAACCGGTCTGAACCGGTCGTAACCGGTGTTTGGTTGCTGCTGGTCGCTGTGATCGGCGTGGTTGAGCGGGTTAACGTTTTCGCTAGGGTCGTCGCGGTTGCCGGCGGCGACGTGCGGAGTAAAGCTGTCGGTTTCTGGTCTCGTCCGCTGCATACCTGAAACGCGATTTTTACTTTGAAATTGGCCTTTTGATATACAATTTTCAAATATCATTGGAGTAAGTGACTACCTTAAATGACTGTGCAGCAGGGAGCTAGTGGATATAGATGACTTCAAGGCTATTCCTTATAGTAATTTATGAGCATTCCGTACTGTTTTTTTTTTATGGATTATAATGGAATGGTAACCCGGCCTGCGCTATCGGCATACACTAGCGGGGGAGGTGATGGAGGTGGTGGTAGAGGTGAGGGATGATAAGTGAAGATGAAGCAGATCAGACAGCCCATCGTGACAAATTCACCAATGAATCAATCATCGATGGTTTCCAGGTGAAACCGCGAGGAGGTCGACTCGATATGGTGTATTGCTAGTAATAGGGTAGCTAATCCCCATTACTAATAATTCCTTTCCTTCCAGCATTTAGTAGTGGCCAATGAATGGATGAAATAATAAAGACAACGTGCATATTTTATCTGATTTTAAAAACAACATAGCCAGTGTCATTTCTGGCACAAAAAGCATGAGGTTTTAAAAGCATAACAGTGCATACCTCCACCACCGCATCTCAGAAGTAGCAACACATGAAGGGTACCATGGTTACTTTTGGTACTATGGTTAATTTTACTATTTCCATGGTCATTTTCCATAAACTGGGCCGTCAACTTGTTTGCCATTTCAGGTTGTACGTAAGTACTATTTCCTGATCTTCTCAAGATACTACTCGTGGTCATTTAAAAAGACACGAATGGACTTTGAGGAAAGATTCTTCAGAACCTACAGGAACTGCTTCGCACCATTCCACGTGTTAATTTGCCACAGGATCCTCAGACTACAGCAACTGTTTTCCATTGTCCTGTATGCTTGTTTGCCTTATTTGGAAGAAATATTTTAAAATTTGTTGTCACTTATCCTCTTACCGTGTGTTCCCGGCATAGAATAGGCCACCACTTCCTTTCCCGTAGGTGATGTTAGAAGCAACTAAGGGAGGACGAGAGATGAGCAGCAGCGTCCCTCTTAAAACATCTCCAAAGCCTAACTGCAGTTGACAATCCGCCTGCCATTTGTGACAATTACTGGCAAACCCCAAGGGGAAGGCTTATATTCAGCAGTGGACAGTTAAAGGCTGATATTATGATGACGATCCTCTTACCTGATGATGATTCTCCCAATCCTTGTGCTGGCAAAACGCTCCACAGTACCGCGCGGCGTTGCACCCAGAACAAGTCTCTTGCGCTTTACGACCGCAGTTCCAGCAACACTGCGAAAATGTTACCTTATTTACTTATCTTGTACATGGGATCACATCACTACCTTTCACACATTAACCCATTGGGATTTTTTGTACTTCCCCCTGCCTTACACTACTATCAAATAATGGTTATGGTAACTGATAGTTTGAGATACATGTAGCCTTCTGGGATTTAAGGGTACTCCATCGTTTTGGATTCTTTTACGTAAATACTACGTGATTTCTTCGCCAATTCAAAACCGATTTTAATATTTCTTTTTGCATTATTTGTTTGGTTCACTCTCGTATTAGTCTCATATTAATTGTCACGATTTATGATCCTATTTCTCCTTGCAAAGCATAAAACTGTCTGTTAGGAAATAAAATCTTTTGTGACGAATCCACGTTATATATTGAAATATTTTCAAGTTTCTACAAAACATCTCTCGTACTTTATCACTGAAGTCGTCGTTATTTGTGGAGCAAAATGTATTTATAAACATACGTTCTGCTGTCCCGAGGCGTTGGGACTCAGGTCCCGTCCGGGTGGCGGGCTGTGCCGCCTCTCCACCATCCTGTCCATCTTGCCCCGTTCAGCTGCCACCAACTCTAATGCCTTGGACTCGGCCGCGCCAACAGCCCTCTGTAGTTCCAGCAGCGCTTGACGTTTCACCTGTATAGAAATCGAATGATACGTTCTTTGAAGAGAAGGGATTGTTAATAATGGAGATTAGCAATATACCCTATTAAGTCAACTTCTATGTAGTTCCCCCTGGAAATCATCATGTATAACTGACCTGCTTTCATCACGTCATTGTCATCCCTCACTGATGCCCCGTCAGTGTATACAGATAGCGCGGATGGGGTTACCATTCCATTAATATCCATTAAAAAAGTAAGCATTCTAGGGTTGCCGATGTTTACTCGGTAGTCGTACAAACGGGAACCCGGGATCCAACATTAGCACCTCGAGGTACGTCGTGTGGTTTTTAGTGGGTACGAATCCCACACTCCCCAGCTGCCCTCCCTCCGGCAGATGGAACGGTCTTTCCGAAGAATTTTCACACGGAACAAAAAAAGAGTTGCCGATGTTGGACAAAAATATAGATCTTCTGCATCGATTCATATCAGAAAGATTCTGATAGATCTAGGAGAAATTTGACTGTTGCGACGGTTATCATTTTCCATGAAGTAAGCCATCAGCTAATTTGCTGTTCCAAGTGTCATAAAAAGTGTACGTGGATGATTTCCAGTAAGTGTAATTTCTGTCTAATTTCGATGAACTTTTTTGGTTTCAAGTCTTCAGTAAAGATGATGTGCCCAGAAAGTAGTTTATAAAAAGCTTCCTCCTATATTTCACCTAATAGCCAATGCCCTGGCCTTTTTGGGAACTTTCAGAAGTGGCTTTAGCTGAAAATAACGTTTAAATTAAAAAAAAAAAGGAAATTATAAACAATTTTATAACGAAGATCGAGATCCAAGACGATTGGATAGACGTCGAAAACACTACCATGAGCTGCGACAAGCGTTTGCTACCAGGCGAGCTGTATGACCGTTGTACATAAAAAATAGAGCTGGAAAGACGTCGGTCAAACCTGGTTGACAGCGTCCTCGGCTCGTCTCCTGACTTCAGCCACCCTTTCCTCGGTCTGCCTCACAGCAGTCGCCATTATCTCGCTCGCTGCACGTTTGATGTCACTGCTCTCGGTTGGTTCCACACCTACACGTTTATAAAATATAATAGTAATTAATTTATTACAGAATCTTATATATAGATACAATCATCATCATCATCATCTTCATATCAGCCTTTAACTGTCCACTGCTGAACATAAGCCTTATAGGATTTTGCCAGTAGTTGCCATACTTGGAAGGCGAATTGGCAACCGCTGTCAGGCTTTAGAGATGTTTTAAGAGGGACGCTGCTGCCCATCCCTCACTCTCCCTTAATCAGCTCTTACGACACTAAGTAGAAAGAAAGGGTGGCCTATTCCATGCTGGGACCACACGGCCATACACACTACAAAATAATAAAGCATATCATTGCCCGTCTATCTAAAACTATTTCGTAACTTCAGAGTACACGGCAGTACACTAAAGAAAACTATGTCTAACGAATGTGGAAACTTCATTGTTAATTCCTGGAGAATTTACTCTAGAGCCTAATTGACCTGACTTTCTCATTCCAAATACCAAGTCTATAGCTTGGAATCCAAGGGAATAGCAGCATACAGGTTTTTTTTATACAATTTAGAATGGCAAACAAGCTGACGATTTTTTTGATGGAAAGTGGTAACCGTCGCCTATAGATATGAGCAGTACCATGGACATGAAAAAATATACTGTTTCGCCCACGATACCCCCCATGCGTTGCCATTCCTGAGGACTCAGGTGTTATTCCTCTGTACCCAGTAAATTCACGCCATATCCCACCCTTCAAACCGAAACACAGCCATGCAAACACAACTGCTTCAAGGTTGAAACACGAATTGGACAGAGGTACCCAAGCAATCGACTTTTGTACAAAGTCTCCCTCTGGTGAAGGTTACCATTGCATGCTCATCTATTAAGTACCTACTTGGTTACCTCTTTCTAGTTTGGTTTAAACATTTTAAATCTTTGTTATTCCTGAGTAAAACAAAATATGTTACGACTTGTTTTCATTGGAGAGGAAGATCTTGCTTAGGGATCTCACAGTCTCATAGCTAATAATATAAAATATATCAGGTCAGTCTTTATACGGTACCATCCGGAAACCATTGTGTTTAATTCTTAATGAATTTGTTCCGATGGGCTAACTGAGGCTTTACCAGAGGGAGACTTTGTACAAAAGTGGATTGCTTGGATACCTCTGTCCCATTCGTGTTTCTACTGTGAATCAATTGTGTTTGCATGGCTTTCGGTTTGAAGGGTGGGATATGACGTAAATTTACAGGGTCCTCAGGAATGGCAACGCATGGGGGGTATCATGGGCGAAACAGTATACTCCGTTATGTCCATGGTACTGCTTATGTGTATAGGCGACGGTTACCACTTTCCATCAGGTGGGCCGTCAGCTTGTTCGCCATTCTAAGTTGTTTAAAAAAAAACTGATCTGACCTCATCCTCACCTATCATTCTTCCAAATCCCCCCCCCCCCCCCCCACAATGTATAAAGGATTAAAATTCCATTATCATCCCATAATTAAGAAGTAGATTATAGAAACTGAAACCCTTTTAACAAGCTATCCATCTTTTATTGAAGACTGAGTCCAGCAGTGAGACATTTGGGAGCTCATTGTCTTGTTATAATTATGATATTAATTTTAAACTATCCTTTTCTCGCTTACCTCTTTGCTGTAATATAGCCAATGCCCGTTTCGTCTTTTCCACCATGCTGAGTATACAGTTCAACATGGTGTTGATGTTTTTCCATTCGTCATCTCCCTTTAATGACCCTGCACCACCGGCTCCGAGGCTCCGCGGCTCGGCGAATGATGCGTTCATCGATGACACGTCGCGGACTGTGATGCAACCTGATGATAAAACTTTTAGAATTAAATTAGTTAAAAGATTGAGCTTTTAAATTAGATTATCCATCTGTTTGCGCACTTAGCCATAATAATGGAGCTATTGTACATGAGTGTATGGTTGGTACAACCAACCAGAAGAAGACAAAGAAAAAATATGTAGGTGAGGATGAAAAACCAGGTCAGTTTTTTTTTATGATAGGTGAAAATGGCATGGTAACATCGCCCGCGCTATCGGTATACACTGGCGGAGTACCAGTGAGAGATGGTAGGTGAGAATGAAAAGGCTGGTCAGTTAGCCCATCGCGACGAATTCAACGATAAATTAGTCACGATAGTTTCCAGGGGGAACCGCGTGGAGGACGACCTGATATGGTACATTGAGAGCAACGGGGACTAACCTTCCCATTACTAACAATCCCTTCCCCCCAACCAGGGCAGTTAGCCATTCGTGATGGATTGAGCACGATGGTTTCCAGAGTGAACTGCGAGATCAGGGTCGCAGGGTGTATTGCTAGCAATGGGGCTATTAATCCCCATTACTAACAATCTCTTCTTCTCCTCGATCTTAGGGTTAAGACGTTATGGAGTTTCCTTACCATCTCTTCTTTCAAAGCCACTTTCTCCCTGCGCGCCGTGGTATCCTTGATAGGGGTGACCATACTCGAAAAGACTGGCATTACTTGGCAAAGGGTACAGGAATGGAGAAGGGTTCATGAACAAGCTGGAGGGGGGAGGACGTTTCGGCTGCGGAGGATAGTCATCATGGTGTACCCCATTGGTCTGGGCTGCATCGTAGAACCTGAAACAAAGAGAATAAATATAGAGATCATTGTTTTTTTTTAATTTTTTTTTATACAACTTAGAATGGCAAACAAGCTGACGGCCCACCTGATGGAAAGTGGTAACTGTCGCCTATACACATGAGCAGTACCATGGACATTATAGAATACCATGTGAAGCTCATGGTATATGCATTGTTATTCCCGAAGACTAAGGTGTTAGTTGCTAATTTTATTTTTAATTTTTAAAATAGCTCTATAATGTTGAAACCATATCCCTTTTAACCGGAATAAAGTCAACCAGATCTTTCATGGCAGAAACATGAATAAAATTCGTTTATATATGTAATTTTAGTATGTATGTATATCAATAATTACTAGTACCGCATTCGAGTATTCTGACACTTCCCTATGGTTGACTGGGAGAGAATGCTTTTAGCATTAAGTCCGCCATGTACACATATTTGTACTAATGAATAAATAAATAAATAAAACAGAGGGGAAAGGATTGTCAGTAATGCGATCTATCAGTCCCATTGCTAGCAATATACCCTGTCAGGTTGACCTCCATGTGGTAGCCCTGGAAACCGTCGTGCTGATTTCCAGGTGTATTCATCACGATAATGTAACTTACTTTCTTTTTTCATCCTCACCTATCATCTCTCACTAGTACCCCAGCAGTTAATGCAGTCCAGGTTACCATTTCATTAAAACAAAACTCGAATAAAACAGCAGTATCCGCGCAAATAAATTTTAATACAGTCAGTATATATATGTATATATATATATATATATATATATATATATATATATATATATATATATATATATATATATATATATATATATATATATATATATATATATATATATATATATTTATTTAGGTCTATTATACTTACATAATAATATATCAGGGGAAATATATATAAATATAGTTTGTTTATGTGTTATTGAATGCCTTTAGGCTATCTATTATATTTACCAAATGTGTTTTGAATGAATTAGTACTGTTTTCCTTCTTGATTATGAGCTGATGAAAGTATGGTTCCGTAATGTTTAACAGTTGGCACGCTAGTTGGTGATTTAAGGCCTTAAGTTTACATACAAATCTTTTTATTCATTAAAATAATCATAACATTCAGTAAAAAATCAAGAAGTCACGTGATCTGCCTACGAAAAAAATATCTTTCTTATATAGCGCTCTAATAGTAATACATATATATTTTAACATTCAACAATAAAATTACGTATAAATCTAAACCAATCTTTTCCAAGCAACCATTCAAAACTTTCATACAAATAAAATCAATACGAACAAAAGTTGTGGGCGTGCCGAACTCGTTCTAAACAATACGATTAAACATAACTTCGGAGCTACAAAAGGAGAGAAGACAATGCAAAACTTTCAACTAATTATAGGCAAGGGGCTTAATAAACACACGCACACGTTACAAGTCACGAGAGTTTGGCGATTTGAGCATTGATAGATGGGTATAGGCGTTTTTAAGAGGTGACCGGGTGGTCTGTGATCATACGAATTATCTGGTGCCTAATTCGATGCGAGCAAAGTCATTAACTTTGTACTCTATGTACCTTTTTTGTCCCCCTGGAAAATAACCTTAAAAACGCCAAAGCTAGACTTTATGTCTGCAACTAGTCATGGAAGTTGGGGGGAAAGGGATTGTTAGTAATGGAGACTGAGAATCCTATTGCTAGCATTATACCCAACCAGGTCAACCTTCTCGCGGTTCTCCCTGGAAACTATCATAGTTAATTTCTGAAGACTTCATCATGATGGGCTAACTGGCCTGTTTTCATTCTCATCTATCACACTTCACTGGTGCTCCGCCAGCGTTAGCGCAGGCAGAGTTACCATACCATTTTCACCTATCAAAAAAAAAAACTAGCCATAGCATCGCAAAGATAGATACTACACGAGTCGAATCGAACATAAAAAGTAATATATTTATAATAAAACGAAGCTTATCACTTGCACCACACCGGAGCGCAGATCAATTGCATTGTTTGTTCTATCGCCTGCAATCGAGCTTCTGTAATCTATTGATTAAAATGCTTTTACTAAACTTTTAAACATTAATAGGGAATATATTTGCGATCAACTTTTAAATCTATGCTTTGGTTGAATCATTTTGTTTATAAATTAATTCAATAATTTGAAATAATAATATTTTTACTAACTGTAATCTGTGTATCAAGATAAAGGGTATTGTAGTGTTTAAGTGTGATTGAGTAACAAACATCCTAACATCTTTACAAACGTTAATTTTTTATTATAGGTAATATTGGTAGACTTCTGTATTTAAAAATAATTTATTACCTACATTTAAATATGCGCTAATAATATTAATAATAGATGGTAATTAAGAATATTTATTATATTCAAATTAAACACGATTTATCAAAGTTCTAAAGTGTAGTTTCGAACACAACACGTGTTGGCCAGGCGGCTGTAAGCGTTTGTAAACGCCTGAATGTTTGCGTGGAGCAATTAGTTGACGATTTAACTTTACGTTGCTAATTGCTAGTACTCGAGCGGCAGGGGCTTGCGTGTTTTCTTGTGATGTGATTGATAACATGTATTACTGCAATCCACAACTCCCCTCGTGTACCGTTATTTTGCTACTTTAAGGAAACATATTAATTTGAAACAAAAGTAGCCTTATCCTATTTTATACTAAATACTTCCTTTCCCGTGGGTGTCGTAAGAGAGGACTAAGGGAGAGCGAGGGATGGGCAGCAGCGTCCCTCTTAAAACATCTACAAAGTCTAACTGCGGTTGCCAATCCGCCTTCCAAGCATGCTAAAACCCCCTTAGAAGTAGGCTATGTTCAGCAGTGGACAGTTAAAAGCTGATATGATGATGACAATAATGCGAAATTATCTGACGCTTTTTAATAAAATAAAATATTTATTTGGTTTAAACAGACATTTTATATAATAAAGGCCATGTAACAGAACTTTTGGTATTTATTTAATTGCCTTAAAATTGAAGGCATCCAAATTTAATGTATTACATATATATATAAATATATATATATATATATATATATATATATATATATATATATATATATATATATATATATATATATTAAATAAATGAGAACACAATGATGACAATCTTATATTCAATAATAGTAGTACGTAATAATCAAGTGATATTAGAAAGATAATGTGTTTTTAATCTTTTCATGAAGGAATCGAATAAAAATGTATATTTGATAGCGTAATTAATTATAAATTTGGCCATATCTCAAGTATTTTTCCTGGTTGCAGCAACTACTACGGTTGTTGGGTGCCGCCTGTGTGAGCTATTAACAGTAACGCCTGCCGGCGGCCGGCCATAACGAACTTCTGATCGTGGTAATTGCTAACAGCGAACGCCAGGCGCTAGATCGTTACCGCCAAATTGCTCGACTGTAAAACTTCAATTATTTTCCGTGATATTCGAGAACCGATCACGTCAAACTAAAATTTGTTGGAAATTAGAATCGTATTAGTTATCAACAATAATATAATATATTATATAGAAGTACTAACAAACGGAAAACTATCTACTAAATTATATATTTAATAAGATTTAAGGATAAAATTAATAAAATTCATTGCGATACAATCTATAAATGATTTAGACAAATTCTCTCTATAAAAAAAGTATTTATTTTCAGAAAATATCGAAAAAATTAATTTTGTTGATTAAAAACTACTTAAAAACTTGTAAAGCAAATTTTTTGTTGTAAGTAGATTTATTTGCAACTTTAGGGTGTAGCCTACTTAATGATTACCCGTGACTTCGCTTGCGTAACCGTGATAAAATATAGCCTTTCATGTTAAATACGTGTATATCAAATTTCATAAAGATTGGTTTAACCAGAACAAACTTGTTTTTAAATTTCTAATATTAGTAGAAATTGATGTTTTAGTTTGCTAGCAGAGCTAAATGCTCTTGTTAATTATGCAATAATATTCTTACTTTTTTTTAGTACATTTGTTCCGTTATGGAACAGGCTAAGGTCGGAGGCCATGCTGCCTAGTTCTTCTTAACTTCTTACTGTGTCAATGTGTTAATTTATGTCAATAAAAATTTAGATTTTTAAAGAAATAAATATGAGTAAATACAAAATTTTCAATCATAGATTTATGTATAACGTTTACTATAATTACCGCTTTAATTCGTAGCCACTTTTTAAATAATCAGTCAAAAAAAATTGAAAATAAAAATTGAAAATTTTTTAATTATTTTTAAAAAATTACACATGATTGCGACGTTGCAACGCTTCCGTTAGCTAAAGTTAAGAACGTTCTTAAATCAATTAGAAATGTCAAATATTGTTCGAATGCTTTTAAATGTTGACAGATTCCGACTTTGCCACAGTTTCTATCTCACTCTTAGATGTATGTCGCTATCTAAGGTCGTTATTTAGATTATTAAATACCTATATAAATGTGTAATGTATAATAAAGGAAACATAATAAGAAAAGTAAAAAAATATCTGATTCTATATAAAGTACTGAACGTGCAAAATTGAAATTAAAATTATAACAAATACGTTAAATGTTATACGGCCGTATAACCCTACCAAATTCAGATACAAGTTGCTTGCATACTTTTTACATAAACTGTGTCGAATATATAATCTAGTAATGTAAAATTTGTCATTGACAAATAATTGACATATCAAACATTTTCTATACACTAGCCTGCTATGAATTGAGAAAAATAGCAACTTATGGTGTATCTTTCATCCTCTTTTTACTAATTATATTTGCATAAGAAGAAAAGAGGCAACTATATGATTTACAATTTTTATTTTATTAGTCTTCCTATGTAATTCCTTGTTCTTAGGACAGTACGCTCCCTTGACTCATGCAGTACGGTTATTTTTTTTTAGCGCATGGTAACCCAACCTGCGCTAACGGTATTCGCTGGCGGGGCACCAGTGAGGGCTGATAGGTGAGAATAAAAGAGCAGGTCAGTTAGTCCATCGTGAAGAATATACTAAGAACTAAGCACGACCGTTTTCAGGGGGCACCACGGGAAGGTCGACCTGATAGGGTACATTGTTGGTAATGGGACTGATAGTCCGCATTACTAACATCCCCCCCCCCCGGTATGGTTATTAAATAATATTATAAACATCATTGATATTTTAAGTAGTAGCCTGCCAAAGATATTGTAAACGGCTCACAAATATCTAGAGTCGGGTTAAATACATTTATTGTAACTTTGTATGTTAGCACACTAGGTTTATAACATTGATTTGACTTTTGCTTTCATAATGTTATAATTATTTTAATGAATAAATAAAAATAAAATAAATTTCCCATGAAACCTGATCGACAATAGATTTGTTAAAATGGCACGGCCTAAAGCTAGGCTAAAACACATTGCCCCGCGTCTAATGGATGAGGGTAGAATGAAAAGCGGACGCGGCCGCAGCCGCCGTGCCAAATGGTGGTAGTCATAAAGTACAAAACAGGCTGCGGAAATATTGACCGGCCGCTGGTTGACGTCCAACACTGATGTTCATAGGGTTTTACATGGCTACCGACTACAGAATAGTGAGGTTCACACTTCTGTTTTTCTTTTTTAATTTAATATGAGTGATTTCTTCATTTGCTCATCATCATCATCATTCCAGCCATTGTCAGTCTGCTGGACATAAGCTTCCCCCGTAGACTGCCATAAAGAACGCTCCTGAGCCACCTGCATCCACTGACTCCTTGCAATGCATTTCAGGTCGTCACTCCATCTAGTGTGGGTACACTGCGTTTACCCGTACGCGGTCGCCACTCAAGAACCTTTCTTCCCCATCGGTTGTCGTTTCTTCGAGCTATGTGACTAGCCCATTGCCACTTCAGCTTGCTTGTCCTTCGGGTTATGTCGGTTATTTTGTTTCTTTTGTGGATATCGTTTCGGATTTTATCACGCAAATATATCTTAATATGCTCATTCCAATGAAATAAAAGGAAAATAAACATAAACAAGTATTTATTAAGATTTATTTTTTATTTAATTTGCTCGGCTTCTTTTCTTAGTCGTGCTATTTATTATGTAAATTTCTAAAGGTAAATTTTTTAATTCATCCATTACAAATAAATAAACATTCAAATCTTTCCACTAATATATATAGAAATGTAGATACATTTTTTATACAACTTAGAATGGCAATCAAGCTGACGGCCCACCTGATGGAAAGTGGTAACCGTCGCCTATAGACATGAGCAGTACCATGCACATAACAGAGTATACTGTTTCGCTCATGATACCTCCCATGCGTTGCCATTCCTGAGGACTCAGGTATTATTCCTCTCTACCCTGTAAATTCACTGCTATATCCCACCCTTCAAACCGAAACACAGCCATGCAAATACAATTACTTCACGGTAGAAACACGAATGGGACAGAATTGCAAAAGCAATCAACTTTTGTAAAAAGTCTCCCTCTGGTACATAATTAAAAACTTATATCTAGGCTGTATGGGCCACGCTCTTTGCCTGTAAAATTTGAACGAATTTTAAATCAACAACAAACAGACGTCTTTGCCATCGCGTCGACAGTGCATCCTTCCATTTACCATATGCAAATCTGTTTGGGTCCATCATAAATCGCCAATTACCGAACACAATCATAACCCGTCGAAACCATCAAAGGATGACCGCAAAAAACTTTCCGTCTACCCGCAGCGTGCGAGTGACAGCTAGTGGGTGGGCGCGGTACGCAGGACGCGGGACGCGCCTACAGGGCTGTCACCCACTGTCGTCATATCGCATATCTGTAGGTTTTTTTTTATACAACTTAGAATGGCAAACAAGCTGACGGCCCACCTGATGGAAAGTGGTAACCGTATATGGCAGTGATTTTACAGGGTACAGAGGAATAACACCTGAGTCCTCAGGAATGGCAACGCATGGGGGGTATCATGGGCGAAACAGTATACTCTGTTATGTCCACGGTACTGCTCATGTCTATAGGCGACGGTTACCACTTTCAATCAGGTGGGCCGCCAGCTTGTTTGCCATTCTAAGTTGCAAGCACTTTTTTTTGATGGGTGAAAATGGTATGGTTACCCCGCCCGCGCTAACGGGATACGCTAGCGGAGCACAAGTGAAGGGTGATAGATGAGAATGAAAACAGGCCAGTTAGCCCATCATGACGAATTCATCAGGAATTAACCATGATAGTTTCTAGGGAGAACCGCGAGGAGGTCGACCTGGTTGGGTATATTGCTAGCAAAATGGGATTCTCAGTCTCAATTACTAACAATCCCTTTCCCCCCTAAGTTGCAAGCACTGTCACGGGTACATAGTCACAATTACAAACGGCATGATTTTATTTTTCATCGCGGTGCCAACCCTAGTCCTATACGGGCGGGTGTTGTGGGAGGGGGTTGTTAGGGCAGGGGGGGAGCGGTACAAATTACCTGTCCATAGCACTCACCTGTTAGAGACTACGATTATTGATAGTTCGGATTCGGATTTGATGATTGCCTAATGATTTTTGAAGGACGTTTTGGTGTTCCCTTATAGAAAGAAATGTTATAAAAGTAAAAATAATTATATAAATCATCATCATCAGCCTCCTCTTGGAGGTTATGCCAACAGTTGCCACGCTTGGCAGGCGGATTGGCAACCACAGTTTTTTTGATTAATGAATGATAATGGAATGGTAATCCCACCCGCGCTATCGGTATACACCGGCGGAGCAGTTTTTAGAGGTAACCACACGGAGGTCGACCTGATAGAGTGTATTGCTAGTAATGGGGCTATTTGACCCCGTTACTAACAATCCGTTTTCCCGCCATACAATGCTGTTCCAGAGAATTTTTTTCCCGTCTACGCTTATATTGTGGAATAAGCTCTCTGCCAATGTTTTCCCTAAAGATTAACAGTATGGGGCTCTTCAAAAAGGATGTATTAAAATATATTAAGATTTCTTCAGGTTTGGCAATGCGCATGTGACATCCCTGGTATTGCAGGTGTCTACAGTGACCCTTTACCATTAGACGTGCAGTATGCTTTTTTGCCACTAGAACTAAACTATTGTACCGATTTTGATGGAATTTCTATGGCACCAATCTGTAAGTGGAACCTTTTAGATAAAAAAAAAAGAATTTTCCAAATCGGTTTAGAACTGACGGAGTTATGAAGTAACAAACATATAAAAATACGATCGAGTTGAGCATCTTCTTCTGTTTAAAGTCGGTTGAAAAGATAAAGTGGTAAACAAGCCCACCTAGTGATGGTAACCATCACGTGTAGACATAGATATCTAGTGTATCAAGAACTAATGCCTAAATCCCACCCTTCAACTAGAAACCCAGTCATGTAAACACAACTGCTTTAAGGCAGAAATACGAGTCAAAGACTTACGGATCACTGGCCCTCCGCTTCACCCCTGGTTCTACAGCCGTTCCTGGCTGCTGAGGCGCGAAGATGTCGCTGCTATCGCCACCTGTCTCCAGGATGAGGTGCTCGTGTGATCTGATGTACTGCAGGGGAGTCTGTTGGAAGTAGAATGTCATATTATCTTTGAGTTTGTTGTAACGATTGGACTAAATGGCAGTCTTGCATGTGATCACTTTGAAGTTTATTTTAATGGATGATAATGGAATGGTGACTCCGCTTGCGCTATTGGTATATATTGGTGGAATTACAGTGAGGGATAATAGATTGGGTTGAAATCAAGTTCGTTGACCTATCGGGACGTTACTAGAAGCCAAATTAATTAATTAGTTGTTACCTAATTAGATTGTGCCGTAAAGCCCTGAGAATTATTGGACATATTTGACTTTGGAGGAAGCCAAATACTAAGAAATAGTACAGTGTCAATCAGACTACCTTTACGGGCTGGAGGATGGAAAAATTCAACGGCACCCAATGGCGTGAGGAGTCAAAGGTTGGGCACCAGCAAAAATTTTAAGTTAGGCTGGTCCCAAAACTAGGTGTTGATGAAGTTTTGAACATACCAACCTGTTTCGCTCTGCGTGCCCGAGCGTGCAAGTCTCTCTGTGCAAGAGGTAACAACGCCCGAAGGAAACCCGGCACTGATGCGCGGAGAGGGTAGTTGGTGCACTCCTGGACTCCAGACTGGAACTCTTCAATATTCAGTGTCCCGGACTGTTGGGATCAATAAATTAATATTTGTGTATTTATTCGTAGGTTTTTTTATGGGTGATAATGAAATGGTAACCCCACCCGCGCTATCGGTATACACCGGCGGGGCACCAGTGAAGGATGATAGATGAGAATGAAGCAGGTCAGTTAGTCCATCGTGACGAATTCAACAAGAATTGTTCACGATGGTTTCCAGGGGGAACCACGTAGAGGTCGACCTAATAAGGCATATTGCTAGCAATGGGGCTGTCAAACTCCATTGCTAACAATCCCTTCCCCCCTTATTCGTAAGTTACATGGTGCATTTTCGTGTAGTTCCCTTTTACCTTTCCCATGGGTGTGGTAGAATGCGACTAAGAGAACTTTATGGTTTAGGAATGGGTAGCAGCATCCCTCTTAAAACATTACCAAAGCGTAAAGGCGGTTGCCAATCCATCTGCCAAGTGTGGCAGGTGGGTAGTATCTGTCAACTCTGTACAGATATATAAGACATGACTGAAGGCTCACAACGGAAAGAGAAGGAGAGGGAAAAGTAGAAATAGAAGGAATGACTTTCTTTTTGTCGTACATTATCTGGCATATAGCGAAACGTTATCAGGGGGAGACTTTGTACTAAAATCGTTTACTTGGGCACCTCTGTCGAACTCATGTTTCTACCGTGAAGAAAAATTGTGTTTGCATGGCTGTATTTTGGTTTGAAGAGTGGGATATGGCGTGAATTTACAGGGTACAGAGGAATAAAATCTGAGTTCTAAGAAATAGCAACGCTTGGGGGGTATCATGAGCGAAACAGTATACTCTGTAATGTCCATGGTACTGCTCCTATCTATAGGCGACGGTTGCCACTGTCCATCTGGTGGACCGTCAGCGTGTTTGCCATTCTAAGTTGCATAAAAAAAAGTAGTGACAAACGCTACAACTTTGTGATAGGGTAAAAATCCTGAAAACTATATTGGATTTGGAGAAAAAATGCTTGACGTTTGGGTAAAAATCTAAATTTACACATGGCAATCCTGTTTCATAATATCGGATAATAAAATATACTCACAACAAGATTGTATATGAGTTGACGCACCCTCTCGCCCGTGTCCACTCCCACGTCTGCAGCGAACTGCTGCAGCGCTGACAGAAAGCGCCGCAGCCGCTGCAGCGCCGGCGCCGACCGGGAGCCTTCCGCTAGCGGCGGGGATAGCGACTCCGTTGATGATAACGTGGCTGGGTGTGACATCAAAAAGGGTATATTAAGTTTCCGTCTAGTGTTACAAGCGTCCATAGACTACAGTGACCTTTTACCATCAGACGGGCTGTATGCTTATTTGTTACTTTTGCGATATAAAAAAAATCATTATGGTATCATCAGCATAATGGTATTAGTATAAATAATATTAATAGTAAAATGATTTTGAACATAAATAAATTTAAAAGGGCAATTGTTGATTTTCTTGCAGTTATTTCTCGACAAATAACAAACATTTCAAACTCAGCAGTAAAATCATAAATATAACAATTAAAAAGAAAATAATAAACAAGTTTAATTGAATTATGACTATTTCTATTCTATTCTAGTCATTTGTGTAAATTTTATTTACCATTCTATGGTAAAACCAAACTTAAAAGCGTGGCAACTATTGGCAACCCCCCCCCCCCCCCTTAATCTATGGAGCAGGCATAATATTGAACAGATGGCAAATTGCTGATATGACAATGATGACAAAAAAATCTTTATCTTCATCTTTATTTTATTTTATTACATCTGCTATACGGTTGACACACAAGTGGGACAGAGGTACCCAGTTTTGTCCCTCTATCTAAATAATAATAATATAAATGTATCTTTATTCTGGAGTTCACTCCAGATATCTACAGTATGAGATACATGCTCCATAGTTAGAAAATTTTTAAATAGTCCAATTTCTAACATTCCTACTGAATAAAATAAAATATGAGAACAAGTGATTTTGTAACAATCCCGTCCTCGCTTCTATAAAACCAGCTATAAGCTGAGAAATAATACATAATAATATCTTATAATGTCTTTATATTATTATTTAAAGAAATAAATCGCCGGCTCTCGTCATGGAATGTAGTGCACTTGCAAATTGTATATCACTTTTTAAGGATTTTTCTTGTCATTAATTTGTTGGTACACTGGATTCTTGTTCTGTTTTTTTTTTCTTTTATTCATGTTTTTATACTTGTTTATTTTAGTTTTTGAATTTTTTTTTTTATTTTTTTCATATATATATATATATATATATATATATATATATATATATATATATATATATATATATATATATATATTTGATAATGAAACGGTGCCCCGTGTAGGTGCAAACTGAAAATCAGCGCTGAACGAACATCAGTCCAGCAAAAGCTGAGTTTGTACCTATCGCCAGGCGCATACGATTAATGGACAATATATTGATTAATTAATATATGTACATTATACATTTTCTGAGATGTTGTTCCAGACAGTTGGAAATTGCCCAAAATTCTCATCTCCCCTCTTAAGGAGAGGAGAGAAACCGGCAGGGCCCCAGGGAGAGTACAATGCGGGCAGAATCTAAGAGCACCGCTTTCTGCATCTTTCCCGGGAGTGAGCCGCCTCGGAATCCCAACCGTCTGAGATGTTGTTCCAGACTGGTTGGGATAAGACCGTTCACCGACATAACGATTGGGATGATTTCGGTAGATGTCACCCCCCACATTTCGGTCACCTCGTGAGCCAGGTCGAGATATTTTCTCTTCTTCTCGGTTTCGGCTTTCACGAGGTTCTCGTCATGCGGTATGGTGACATCCACCAAAAACACCCTCGAAAGTGCCCGGTCCATCACCACGATATCAGGTTTGTTCGCAAGAACAGTCCTGTCCGTGATGATGGATCGGTCCCAGTAGAGCCTGACGCTGTCGCTTTCGAGGACCGGCTGTGGCTCGTACTTATAGTACGGCAACCTCTCATTCGCGAGGCCGTACTTCAGAGCTAGCTCTTGATGGAGTATTTTGGCTACCTGGTTGTGCCTGTGCAAGTACTCTGTGTTGGCAAGAGCTGAACAACCCGAAAGCACATGTCTGAGTGACTCTCCAGGATGGCGACATGCTCGACAGATGTCCTCAGTGCCATCCTTCAGAATGTGCTTTCGGTAATTGTTCGTCTTAACCACCTGATCCTGTATTGCACAGACAAAACCCTCGGTCTCTCCGAAGAGATCACCGAACTGTAGCCAGTGCACGGAGGTCTTCGTGTTTACGTACGGCCCGTGAAGGGCTTTGAAGAACCTTCCGTGCAACTCCTTCTCTTTCCATACGGCCTCCCGCTGAGAGGTACCCAAAACTTCGGGTTTTCGCCAGTCCTCTTTAGCCAGAGAAAGAGGGGTGAATCCTTTGTCACATTCTATGACCTCTCTATGCAAACCCTCGTCTCTTTTCTCCAGAAAATATGTCCTGAGGCTGTCAATCTCGCGGTTGTGCATGGTCTTAACGCTTAACAAGCCTCGACCACCAGCTTTCCGCGGGATATACAGCCTCATGACTGACGATTTCGGGTGATGCATTCTATGGAGGGTCATAGTTGTGCGGACTTTACGATCCAGGGCTTCGAGTTCGGTTTGAGACCATCTGAGCACGCCAAAAGTGTAAAGGAGTACGGGTATGACCCAGCCGTTATAAGCTCGGATTTTATTGGCGCCCGACAAAGAACTTTTCAGTACTCTTGTAAGGCGCGCAAAAAATTCCTCGCGGACTGACTGTTTCATATTCGTCTCCTTCACACCGATGTTTTGTGACATGCCCAGATACCGGTATGTTTCAGCCTCGGAGAGGGTTTTAATATTAGAGGGATCTGTGGCGATCCCTTCAGTTTGAGTGACCCGTCCCCTCTGCACATGGAGGACCGCGCACTTGTCTATTCCGAGCGCCATCCTAATAGAGCTGCTATAATCGTTTACGATATTTAGCAGCTCCGTCAGGCGTTCGACGCTCGGAGCTAGCAGTTTCAAGTCATCCATGTACAGAAGGTGAGACACTCGTGTACCTCCTCTCCGATACTGAAATCCAGTCCCCGAATTCTCCAGTAAAGTACTGAGTGGATTCAGGGACAGGCAAAACCAAAGTGGACTCAAACAATCGCCCTGGAATATTCCCCTCTTTATCTCTATCCGGTCAGCGGTATCCGTCAATCGCTCGTCCTGGATAGTCAGGATCGTCGTCCACTGCCTCATGCATGCCTCCAAGAACACTCGAACTGTACCGTCGATCTTGTACAGCTCGAGTATCCTCCGGAGCCATGAATGGGGCACGGAATCGAACGCCTTTTTATAATCTATCCAGGCGGCGGAGAAATTCCGACGGTTCCGCTTGACCACGTGCCCAGCGACAGCATCAATGAGGAGCAGCTTCTTCGATCCGCGGCTACCGCCCCTGCATCCGTTCTGAGCGCTAGATAGGATCTTATTCTCGTACACATGGCGAGAGATCTTAGCGCTCAGAACGGATGTTAACGTCTTATATATTGTCGTAAGACAAGTGATGGGGCGATATTTAGATGGATCCGCGGTATCGTCCGTCTTAGGAGCTAAATGAGTGATCCCGGTTGTAAGGAAGTTCGGGAGCGCCCTGTTTTCGAGGGCACTCTGGAATTGCACGGCTAAGGTCGCATGGCTGGCCGAGAACGCCTTTAACCAGTAGTGCTGCAATCCGTCGATCCCCGGACTTTTCCAGTTCGGAGCCCGACGGATCGCGGCAACCACGTCTTCCTCCGTAATGGCAATGGCGTTCATCGGCGTTATTCGAGCACATGCTTCCTCAACATCGTGCATCCATGCGCCCTCCTCATGTTCCACAGGTTCAGACCACAGCTGTCTCCAGAAGGCGACGAAATTGGCTGTTTCGGGTCTTTGTCCTGTGGGCTGTAGTTTTGGGCGCTCCAAGTTCCTATAAAACTTCCGTTGATCACTCATAAAGAGGCGATTCTGTTGATACCTCTCAACCCTCTCAGAGTACCGTCGGAGTCGCTTCCCCCATGCAGCGATCTTCTGCTTCAGTTCATCTATGCGCTCTGTAAGTTTGTGCCCGAAGTCCGGCTGGAACAGACGTACACCTGTCCCAGCAAAGGCCTCTTTTACGGAGCGCATAATTCTCGGGCGTGTGTTGCCCTCCCTGAAGCAGAGCAGTCTACCAATGAGGACTCTGGCCTGGGCGATCCGTCGTTCAATCCTTCTTTTCCAGGCTGGTTTCATATTATCCCTTTGGATATTACGTCCAGCCCGGGGCATTTTTGCGCCGGTATATCGGCATACTGCCAACGCAGCGCCAAACAGGATTGAACTCGTCTCTCCCAGGTCACCGCTGCCCTCAAGGTACTGAGGCAGCAGTCCATTTGTGGCCTCAATGGCATCCCGCGTCGCCACATTTGGATATATCCGGGGAAGCTTCGGTCTCTCTTCGAGGGGAGTTCTTCGGATCTCTAGAATCGCCTCCTCTAGTATGCTCCTCATATGCTCTATATCCTGGGAAGTTGTTCCGTCCGCATCCGCTTCTGAAAGCGTTTCGGCAACCACCTCTACGCTAGGTAGCACGTCTGAGATGGGTTGCTCTACGGTCGCGGAGTTTGCTTCTGGAACAACTTCACTTCGCAATCGTTCGAGTTCGGTCGCGCTAAACATACCAGAGCGCTGTATGTACCGAACTCTGTCGGCTAGGTTCTGTTCCGAGACGGTTAGATCCGGTAAAAGACGCAGAAACTCGCGGTGCATTACTGCCCGGTATCCTGTTCTGCCTGTTTCTGTCCCTGTAGCCCTGAAGAACGCACGCATGAGGTCCTCATTCATGGCTCTTGTCCACCTCATGCGACGTGTACCACCAGTGGCGGGCACCGATTGCTGGGCCTGTGACGGCCCTGCCGGCGCCAAGCCAGCTGATGTCGATGACGAGGGGTCGGACCGGCCAGGTGGTGGGGCCGGTCGGCTGGCTCGCATTCTGCCGCGCCTACCGCCAGTTGTAGACGCGCCCCGGCGACCCCCGGGCAGCGACCCTATACTCTCTCCGTTATTATTATTCGCCATCTTTATTTTTGCCATTGCCCCTTTAGCCGCGTAGGTTTAATATATACGCGTGACCGCCTTCCACGTGAGCTAGATGGTGAGCTCGGACGCGGGGTTGGACTTTGGAAGGCAAAAAATTATTATTATTATTATTATTATTTATGTATCTAAAACCGAGGAATAACTACATGGGAAAGATAAAAGAAACACTAGGTGTCATGTCGTATAGGGAGGTCAAGGATATGGCCTGGGATAGAGCTGGCTGGAGGCAGATGCATGAATTAGTTGCACCGACAAGAGGAAACTCTTAAATGAAAAGAAAAGAAGATCTAAATGCCAATTTTGTCACCTGTAGTTCCATTGTTCTGCGGACTGGGCGGACCAGGTGTGGGGGAAGACCTCGCCTCCTCCTGTTCTGGTGATCTTCGCTCTTTGCCCGTTGTAGAAGCTGTAACAAAATACAATGTTTTAATTGGTATTTATCTATTTATACCTGTAATAAAACTTCGAATGGCAAAAACTAGTATTTTTTTATACAACTTAGAATGGCAAACAAGCTGACAGCCCATCTGATGGTAATAGGTTACCATAGCCTATGAACGCCTGCAATACCTGAAGCATTACACGCGCGTTGTCGACCTTGAAGAACCGTGTATTGAAGGACCCCATGCTGTAGTCTCTTGGAGAAAACTCGACTCAGGAGTTCATTCCATAACCTGAGCGTTCGTTCGAGCATTTTTATTTATTTAACTTAGTACCGCCTAACAGTCGATTCTTGGGGGGAAAGGGATTGTTAGCAATGGAGTTTGACAGCCCCATTGCTAACAATATGCCCTATTAGGTCGACCTCCACGTGGTTCCCCCTGGAAACCATCGTGAACAATTCTTGTTGAATTCGTCACGATGGGTTAACTGACCTACTTCATCCTCACCTATATCATTCAATTATCATCCATTAAAAAAAACAGCCGATTCTTTATTTTTTTTATTTTTTTAATACTTATTCTATTATTCGGGACACCGGGTCAGATAGTAAGATAAAAAAGAAGAAAGTTAATGAGTCAACAATTGCATTATGTCAAAAAATAAAAACTATAAAACACGCCGTGCCACGCCACTCAATTGTTTCGCCTTCCCGGTACCTCTCCACTAACACTTGAACTTTATTGTATGGTATTAAAGTTGTAATTGGCTTTTAAGTATTATTACAAATCGTTTATATAAAAAAGTGTCGTTTTTAGACTTTTCAGGCATTTTTTTTTAATTTTTCTCTCCGCAAGAACCATCCTCGTATTTCAAGGAATATTCTAAAAAAAGAATTAGCGAATTCGGTTCAGCTGTTCTCGAGATTTGCGCTTAGCAACACATTCAGCGAAAAATCATTCTTTTTGTAGCTGTCAATAATGTCTTTTATATATAAAATTTAAAATATTTAAATTAAATCAAAATACAGGTAGTGACACTAACAAATTATTTTTAACTATCCGCTAATCTTATGGCCCCTCAAAGTATGAGGCCTGTGTAAACGAAGCCGACCGGCGGCTCCGTGCCGGCGCATAACCGACGCCCGTTACCACAGATCGAACGAACACGAATCGAACGACAACTTAGATATTACACTTTGCTAGTTTATTGTCTATGTTATTAAATTAATTAGATATCCGCTTCGATTTCGCACGAGTAAATTTTTTGACGGGTGGAAATGGTATGGTAACCCCGCCTGCGCTAACGCGATACGCTGGCGGAGCACCAGTGAAGGGTGATAGATGAGAACGAAAACAGGCCAGTTAGCCCATCATGATGAATTCATCAGGAAATAACCATGATAGTTTCCAGGGAGAACCGCGAGGAGGTCAATCTGGTTGGGTATATTGCTAGCAATGGGATTCTCAGTTTCCATTAGTAACAATCCCTTTCCCCCCCACTATATTAGTACTATTACTTGTACATAATATTAATAATTCTTTAATAAAGGCAACCAGGGCCCACAATAATAATATATTATTTCCAGGTATATACCAATAGTTTACAGTCATTGCGATCTTTATTATAATTTACTTTTAATTAAATACAATTTTTACATTATTATAATAATGTAAAAAAAAAACCTTTTTCCCCCTGATTTCGCACGGGTAGATAAGTAAAAAAAAAAAATATGAAAAAGTACAGATTATTTATTTATTTATTTATACTTTACTGTTAATTGTACACAAAAAAAATACAAACATATAATTTATTTTGAATAAAGATGTACAACAGGCGCGCTTAACTCTGTAAGAGTTCTCTACCAGCAAACCCTGAGTGGAAAGGAGCGTATAACTTAGCTGATATATTTTTTATACAACTTAGAATGGCAAACAAGCTGACGGCCCACCTGATGGGAAGTGGTAACCGTCGCCTATAGACATGAGCAGTACCATGGACGTAACAGAGTATACTGTTTCGCCCATGATACCCCCCATGCGTTGCCGTTCCTGAGAACTAAGGTGTTATTTCTCTTTACCCAGTAAATTCACGCCATATCCTGTCCTTCAAACCCTTTATTTATTTACTCTTCATTGCACCACTTCAAAAATAATACAAAACAGTATATATATGGAGGGGGGAAAGGGATTGTTAGCAATGGAGTTTGACAGCCCCATTGCTAGCAATATTACAGTGTGTTCCGTGGATCCACGGTGCTGTTCACGTCTATAGGCTACTTTTTTTTAATGGATGAAAATGGAATGGTAACCCCGCCCGCGCTATCGGTATACACCGACGGGGCACCAGTGGAAGATGATAGGTGAGAATGAATGCAGGTCAGTTGGCCCACCATGATGAATTCGACAAGAATTAACCAGGACGGTTTCCAGTGGAGGTCGACCTGAGAGGGGATATTGCTAGCAATGGGCCTATTTAACCTCATTATGGGTACTGTTATCATTTTCCATCAGGTGAACCGTCAGCTTGATTGTCATTCTAAGTATCATATAAAAAGGCGGGAATATCCAGGCACCGGGTGACCTCGTCCGTTTTGACGCGTAACAATATAAACATGATTATCTATGCGTTAGCACGCAACTCATAGCGCGGTTTGCACAGGCTCCGATAGTCTATGGTTTGGGGCCACGAAGTGAGCGGCCGACTGCTTTATTTTTTTTTGATGGATGAAAATGGTATGGTAACCCCACCTGCGCTAACGGGATACGCTGGCGGAGTGAAGGGTGATAGATGACAATGACAACAGGCCAGTTAGCCCATCATGATGAATTCGTCAGGAATTAACCATGATAGTTTCCAGGGAGAACCGCGTAGAGGTCGCCCTGGTTGGGTATATTGCTAGCAATGGGATTCTCAGTCTCCATTACTAACAATCCCTTTCCCCCGACTGCTTTATTGGCTACTAGCGGTGCGTCCCGACTTCGCACGGGTGGACATTTTTACAACATTTTATAAAGTGGTTATTGTGACATAACGATAATAGTTGGACATATAGTATTGCAAAGTATTTTGTAGTTATTGATATTTTCTTCAATATTGTAAAACATACTTTTGTTCTATCACCAATAGTTTCCGCAGCGCACGCGACGAAAGATATTTTATAGCATTTTTTTACACCTTACAGTTACATTACTAAAGTTTTAGTAAGGATCCCTAGTCTCTTCTAGCAATAAATATAGCCTATGTTCCTCAGGGTGAATGTAGCTTTCTAATGGTGAAAGAAATTTTGAAATCGACAAAGCAGTTTTTGAGTTTATTCATTACAAAACATACATACATACAAAAATACAAATCTTTCCTCTTTATAATATTAGTGTAGAAGAGTTAATAGCTTTTTCGTTGTTATTAAATCACCAACAGGCAACAAACAAACGCACTTTCATTTTTATAATATAAGTAAGGCCACAATAACATTAAACAATATCCAATAATGATAGAGTCGGAAGCAAACTATAACATGGTACATATTAGAGAAAGCAAAACGCTAAATACTCTGCCAGTGACAGAATAAATAAAAGTTCGGCGAGCTAGTGGTGTGCCGAGTGCGGTCCCGTGCCAGGAACACGCACCCTCTGCACTCTAGTGATGTACTAACACTGTTATCGATAACATCTATTAGACAATATATTTTTCTCAAACATGCTTGGAAATGTGAGTATTATTTTGACAATCTTCTTCGAGATAAATCAAAATTGCCGTACTGGCCAAATACATGCGGGCAGCGGCCGGCAAAAGTTGTATGAAAATCCATATCTGTCGTGTGTTGCGGCCAGATAAATTACTATGTAAACTAATATCTGTCCTGTAATTTAAAAATGGAATGACCTTTTACTTCAAAACATGGCTACCAAAAAGGCAACTAATAAAAGGTTTTATTTGAATTTCTAACTGGCTAGCAATTAGAAAGCGGTTTATTAAAAAAAAAACAAGGAACATTATGGCGCGTAAAAAATTATTATTGTTCGTTATTCGTCATTGAACTTAAAAAGTAAAATTGTGTTTTTGATTTTCGCGCATTGTTTGAGAAAAGTACTATACAAGCCTTGGCCATAACTAGGCATTGATGGACTCACGTATGTGTGCCTCGGCTACGCCTCGGCCCACATTTGCACGTTCGTCCATCAATGCCTCAGTTGCTGGCCGCTGCAGTAATGTACTATTTCTATCTTTGCGATTTTATTTGATATAAAGTTGCAAGGATCGAAAAAATTTGGAAAAAATCCTCAAAATTGTATCGGTGTTTAGTAAGTAATATCAGTTATGATGATGGTATGATGTTTTTAATCCGTTTATTAGAGGGCTAAGAACGTTGCTATTTATCTGCGAATGCTGTCACTATTTATTGCCTATAGGCGACGGTTACCACTTTCTATCAGGTGGGCCGTCAGCTTGTTTGCCACTCTCAAGTTGTATAAAAAAAAAAAATATTATAAAGTAAAAAAAAGACATAAATGATGATGATTCGGTTTCTCTTTTTTTTAACGGGTGAAAATGGAATGGTAGCCTTGATTGCGCTGGCGAGCAGGCGGGGTACCAGTGAGTGATGATAGGTGAAAATGAAAGCAGGTCAATTAGCCCATCGTGAATTCACCACTATAGTTTCCCCTATAGTTATAAGGAACCGCGTGGAGGTCGACCTGATATTGCTAGCAATGGAATTGTTAGACCCTATTGCTTACAATCTCTTTCCCCCTGATATTTAGGTTGGGATAAAGGCAAAAGATTATTCGGTTAGTTTTTATAAGTAGCAGTGCAGTATATTGGAGATGTTGAGAGGGAACGAGAAGCCTGATTATTCGGTGCAATATGCTATGAAGATAGATGGCACGTTGTGGCCCCGACATGAGTTTAACACTGTTTGCATCGAGACAAAACTCTTAGAGAGAAAGAAATGTAGATACATATTTTTTATTCAAACAAAAATTAAAATAAAAATATTTAAGAAACTAAATTGAAAAATGAATA